AAAGTTTAATTATTCAATAAAAATAAGAAAAATAAATCAACAGGGAAAGCAGACTAAATATTATTAAAATAAAAAAAATTTAATGAAAGTTTAAAGGATATTCTTTATAAAGTTTTCAAAACATCTTTAGGGTGAAGAGTTTTTTCGGACCAATTGAAAATTTCTTAAGTTAATCCAATATACAAAAACGGAGACAAAACAAATTTGAGTAACTACCGTCCTATTTCCATCCTTGCAATGTTTTCAAATATTTTAGAAAGAATAATTCATATCAGAACTATTAAATACTATATTTACAAAAACTTTTATTAAATAATTAGATAAAATAATCGGTTAAAATGGTATCTTGACAGATTATTTTTTAACTTACTTAAAAAAACGGAAGCAATACAATTGGTACAATGATGTGATAATGAAGCAATACAATTGGTACAATGATGAATACAATTGGTAAAATAATGAAAGCAATACAATGAAGCAATATAATTGGTACAATGATGAATGATATGGATGAAATAATATGTGATGTTTCAAAGGGCTCTTTTTTAAGAACCCCTTTAATGACCTTATCAAACCATCGGAACTAAGTAGTATTATATTCGCCATTAATACAAATTTATTCTTATCAAATGCTAACATCGATGAACTATTTTCTAATTTGAACATTTTATCAAAGTAGAAGGAGATTTTTTTTATAAATTGAATAATTGCGTGTTCCATTAAACTTTTCTTTTTAAAACAAAACTGACTGTATTATATTGGTTTATTGAAATCAAGGTATTTATATGTTCTATTTGAATTATTCTTTCTAAAATTTACGCAGTGGTGCCATGTTTAGAGTTCTGACTCAAAACCAAGAGGTCCGAGATTTAAAACTCAAGAAACAACATTGGTAAGGAAAGCGTATAGACAATCATTACTATTAATTTAATTTTTTTTTAATATTTGTAGTTTCTGAGTTATGTCGGTAAAGCTTTTGACCTTTTAACACTTGGACATTTTTGGGATTTTTAAACTGCATCCCAAGTTTAATTTTATATTAGGGTATATTTCATATTAGGGTATAGGTAGAAATTTCAATAAAAATAATATAAAAAACTGAGGAAAATCTTTAGTATAAAAATCATAAGCTAAAATCACACATTTTTAAATTTGGGAATACTTAAGGTACATTTATTTCCAAACATAAAAAGTTCCCGCAAAGTGTTTTATTGTTTTTGGAAAGGATATCCCGTTGCAATTTAAATGGTTCTAAAACATTGAGGTATTGCTGGTTGTTTAAGTAAATTAAACAACGAGCAATTGCCTCAATAACCTTTAAAAGTTATTAGTCATAAATGTTTTAACATTTATGACTTATAACTTTTAAAGTCAAGTGTCAAAAAATATATAACTAGCATTAAAAAATCAGCCATTATGAGAAATGAAATGGTCCATAGATTGAATGTATAGATTTTCAGTTACTCCATAACACCATTCTCTTTTGTTTAAGATGAGTTTAAAACTGACCTGCATATCCTGACCTGCATATAACTGACCTGCATATCCTGACCTGCATATAACTCACCTGCATATCATAACATTTTATTGTTAATAAGAAAATAGCAACATTATATGAATAAAAGACCACAGTAAAAACATATTATAGATAAAAAGACCAAAGTAAAAACATTTATTAGATAAAAAGACACAGTGGACACGAGACGTAAAAAACACGTCTTTTAAACGTTTTTCACATCTTTTGGACGTCTTTTTTCGGTCCCGTGCCCACTGGGTAATAGATAATAAACCACAAAAAAAAAAAAAAAAAAAAAAAAAAAATGATAAAACGACTACACATGTAATAGCGACAAAAGCATATAATAGAAAAAACAATTACAATATTTGGAGAGTGTACAAAATCATTATGACGGGATTTAAGGAGTCCCAACAGTTAGGAATATATTTTGAAAAAATAAAAAAAGTGCAAAAGTTAAATATCAAGGAATTTTTTTTTTTTTTTTTGATGATTTTGTTACTGTTTATAAAAATGATGTTTGGGCAAATTCATGCACAAATTACTTTGAGAAAAAAAATTTCTAAAAAACTTCTGAAAAAATTATTTTGAGATATAAGAAATTTTGCAAAACGGTATTGTAAACTCTATTGAGAATTTTTACATGATATTGTAAATTCAATACTAATTACTAAAATAAACAGAATTGCATTAGAGGCGACCAACCAAGAATATTAAATGTGTTATCTTAATTTAATACATTTAACATACTTCGCCGTGAAACTTTTAAGGAGAATTTCTTAGGAGATCAGCTCTGCAATCAGCTTGTTTACCAATAAGATAATAATTTATAAAAAATCAGTTTTTTGCGAGAGATATAAGCAAAAATATCAGATCATTAGTAAGTTCTCTCGAGCCACGTGTAGCCGTTGCGCATTATATCGGCTAAAGGGTACAAGAACTTTTTGTTAGGGTTAGGGTTACCGAACGAAAGTTACAGAACTTTCAATTTAATCCTATTTGTTTTTTCTATTTCAGGCATACAAAGTAATTTTAGTTAATTTCCAAGGCCAGATTAAAGGCGGTTCATCTTATTGAGACAAAGGAAAACCTTTTTAGTGATGTTCAATTATTAAATAATAAAAGAAAGTATTTCTCCTAAATTCTTCGCTGCAACCTACATCCATGATATATACAAAAGATAACTATAGTATGTATACATTAGACTGGTGGCTAAATAGTTTAATAAAATTATATTTTCTTATTATTAATTTTTGCACCTTCTTTATTTGTTTGAAAACCTATACCTGACTAATTAAGTGTTCTGCATATATTAAATTTGGTGTTCTATACGTTATTTAGATAAAAATGATGCACTTTAAGTAGTTTTTTAATTTATCTCCAACCGTTTGTTATCTCCGTCATTGAACTTAAGTTTATAGAATAAAAAGTATAGTTTTTAACTTAATTTCGGAATGGAAAACCACAATCAATGGTTTACTCAAAATTTCTAGCAAAGCCCTGCTTTCTGAGCAAATTTAAGTTGCAGCCTTTCATAATAAAAAAAGCACTGAAAAACCACGAGGTTTTTTTCAGTGCACATTCTTACATCAAAGCCCTGCTTTCTGAGCAAATTTAAGTTGCAGCCTTTCATTATAAAAAAAAGCAAACTGAAATTACATTCGTGCAAAATGCATAACAAATTTTATTCCATGAATTTCAATACTGTGCGGTGTATTTTCGAGTTTAACTCGTAGTTTTATTCTGAATAATCATTTTTTATATTTTAAGTTTCGTCTGAATCGGTTAGTTATATGATAAACTTCGTAGATAAATAAGTTTTGCTGAGTAATTCATCAACATCAACAAGTGCATTTCACTGTTATTAGTAGGTAGATTTTATTTCGGAGGTTATCTTTTATATTTTAGTTGGAATTCAAACAATTTAACACCTGTTGTGTAAATATGTGACGCATCTCTAATTTCGTTTCTAAACCCAATTATTTTGTAAATTGTATATTAATAAGACAACTTTGCTTATACCAACAAGCTTAGTTATTTTCTGATAAATTTTTTATGCTATTTTATTTTATGCTATTGTCTCGGTTATAAACATTCAAAAATTCCATGAAAAAAATTTAAAATAAGTATATTTCCCATCCTTTCTTGTTTTTTTAATTTTATTTCATCAGCATATGCCATGGTAGTAAATATTTGATCAATAGTCAGGGTTAGGGTTGCTTGAAAAACTTTTCTTGAAAAGGGTTAGGGTTTGCTTGAAAAGGGTTAGGGTTGCTTGAAAAACTTTGAGGTTTTGTGGTTTATGCTCCTTTGGGTAATTGCCATATAGGGGCTCATACCAAGGTCTGCAAATATTAGTTCAGCGTAATAAAGAGCTTAACTCGCACCAACGAACCAAGTGTAAGAGAGTTAGAGGAAAAACAAAATTAAACAAAAGTTAAAGTCAGAAGTAGTGACGTTAGAACAATAGCAATAAAAAAAACGGACAGATATTGTACCAGATATCAGGATGTGCAATAAGATTAATATTATTAGATTAAACTTTGAAATAAGCAATTAAATAATAATCTTAATAAAAAACCTGGCTTACACTTAATTTACAAGAAGAGGGGTTGAATCTAAATATCTACTAAAAAAGTTTTTTTTTTAATTTTGCTTGTGTCATAAAAAACGATGTCATAAATATCTACAAAAATGTTTAGTTTTCAGTTAAGTTTTGTTCAAAAATAATTAATAAAACGGAACCACAAGCAAAACATTTTTTTATTTTGTACGAGTTGCTAATAAATGCCGAGATAATATTTTGATAATGTTATTGAGTGTTTATTTCTTAAAATATTTATCAAGAACTTATTGGACCTTTTTTATGATTGGGTCTGGGTTAGTATTGTTCTGTGCCCCCCACCCCACCCCCACCTACATTGGAGCGGTCCTGGGCATCTAATGTTCATCGAAATTTCATCAAGAGTTGATTAATGTTCACGTTTATTAATAAGTGGCTTTTCTTCTTGCCTCAGTGTCGGATAATAATTGGATTTTTTTTTTTATTGTTGGTCGTGTTTCAACTAGGATGTTTGTTGAACCATCAACAACAAAGTAAGATGTAGAATTGGGGGTAAAATTATTTTTATAAAATATATTATTGCATAAGCTATTTATATGTTGTAAGATTAAGAAGTCAAATTTCGAAACTACTTGACCTTACTTTATAAGATTTATAAGACTTCATGACGTTACTTTATTAGACTTATAAAAGTACTTGACCTTAGATTATAAGATCCCGAGGTTCCTAAACCTAGTTAAATCATAAATTATTAAAATAATTTATGATTATTCAGTGCCAATCCTAAAAAGAAGTTAACATTATGTTTACTGCATTTTATACCATATTGAAACTGTAAATATCATAATATGGTAAAAAAAAAGTAAGAATCAGATGTTACATTGTTAGATGTTAGCTTGAGTAAAGTTTGATTTATTTTACCTTTTTCTATATTGTATCCTTCTAATATATTTAAAGTCATCAACGGAACTACACCCTGACCATTAGGTGGCATTTCCCATACTCTAAAACCTCTGTAGTCAGTAAATATTGGTTCATCAAAAGTGCTACAATGGGATTCCATATCTTCCATTGTTAAGCAGCCGCCATTTCCTTGAACAGTTTTTACGATTTCTTCGGCAATTCTTCCTTTATAAAAACCTTCTTTTCCATTTATTGCTAAATCCTTTTAATTTAATTTAGAAATTTTTGAAATTTCTTATTGGTATCAAAGTATTTTTATACTATTTGTTTTTTCTTTATATTAGTTTATTTATACAAAACAATAAAATAAATTTAAGGCTTAACAACTTAACATCTAACATGTTTAACCGTTATAAAAGCTTGAAAATCAGGAGTAAATTTAAAAGATTAAAAATTTTTGAAAATAAAGAACTATGATTTTAGTTTTTACAAAACAAGTTTGTTAATAATTTATATAATATATATTATATAATAAAATATATAATAATAATAATAATAATAATAATTAACAAAGTAGTTACGAAAAGAAATACCTTTAGTACTTTAGCAAACTTTTGATTTCGAACAATTTGACCTGTTGTAGGAGGTTTTCCATTGACTAATAAATCACTTCCATAGGAAGTATCATTTGTTTTTAGGTGTAAGTAATTTTGCTGGTTTAAAGTAGCAGTAACTTCGTGCAGAAAAAATCCGTTTTCGGCTAGTTGAATTGCTGGACTAAATATATCTTCGAATGATTTCTTAAAATAGTGGTTTATAATTAATAAGGTTTATATTTAATTTAAATTATAATTAGGTCATATCGTTTCTAAAATGTTATAATACCTTGCTATCAATCAAACTATTTCAATATTTTGTTTGATATCAACTTGTTGAAATCAAGTTTCAAGAGTTTATAAAAATCATCAAAAAAATATTGACATTGAATAAAAAATAGCATAATATATGTCAAATACAGTATATATACTTTTTCTCTCTCTTAGTAAATAAAGCTAATTGTAAGGAAAGGTAAAATGTAAGATTTTAAATAAAAATAATAGTTTTAATAAATGAAAAAATATGCATCTAAGGAATAGACCGAGCTGTCAAGCCCAAGTGAAATAAGGAAAAAATTAAGAAGAAAGAAAAGATGATAAAACTAAAAAGATATTCACGGGCAAATATTTATTGTTGGTTGTGTTAAGAGTTCTTTTCTCTTTTGATTTTATTTAGTAAAAAAAGGTGACAAGATACAATATATGAACATTTTATTATGTTAAAAAAAGCTAAAATAAATACTGTTTAAGACCAAAATCAAAACAAAAATGCCACGATTTAGACGAGACCATTAGACACTGGTCTTGTGGTTTCGTTTCGGTCATAAACTCCAAAATCAATAAATACATAAATTAATTTGATTTTAATTTTAAGTATTTCAATGATGCATTTTAAATATTGCAATTAAGCATTTTAAATGTTGCAATGATGTATTTTAAATGTTGTAATGATACATATTAAATGTTGCAATGATACATATTAAATGTTGCAATGATACATGTTAAATGTTGCAATGATACATGTTAAATGTTGCAATGATTCATGTTAAATGTTGCAATGATACATGTTAAATTTTGAATTTTTAAGTGTTACAAAACTATTGATTGAAAATGAATAATGAATTAAAAATAGTTTGTGACCATCAGTCATTTCCATTAAAAATAATTTGTGACCATCAGTCATGGTCCATTAAAAATAGTTTGTGACCATCAGTCATGGTCCATTAAATGTTGCTAAAGATTATTTAATGAAATTACGTCTGCAACATTTTTTTTACGTCTGCAACATTTTTTTTACGTCTGCAACATTTTTTTTTTTCTAAGATTAAAGAGTTAATTCTTATGTATTTTTTGTCGAATTCGAAAAAACTATCAAAAAAATTTCATCACGTAAGATTTTTCTAAAAAATGCAAAATGTATTTATTATTTTATTTATTAACTTATTATAAGATAATTTTATGTTTCGTAGGCTGAAACAAAACATTCAGTAACTCATAAAGATAATATTAGTCAGCGTTGAACCATATATATATCGGGATTTTCCATAGTAAGTATGGGAAATCCCGTACATATGCAAATGCCGAAATTCTCAAGGAATTTTCCTTTCATTTATTTATTTCTGTTCCGAATTTCATAACGTCCATTTCAAAAATGACTTCAAGAGGTTGTGTAAATATTTCAGAGAGTTTTTGTTATATTTGTGGTGAATTTGTAGTAAAAAAATAATAAAGAAATATTACTGAATTTGTTAAAAAAGTTAACTTTGCGTATTTTGGTGTGAAGATAGGCAATCAGGACAAATCTTGGGCCTCGCATGGAGTTTGTTCAGGCTGTGCTAAAGGACTTAGAATGTGGTCAATAGATAAAATTAATTTTTTTCGTTTTGGTGTTTCCATGATCTGAAGAGAGTCTCAAAACCACAGCGATGATTGCTACTTTTGTTTGTGTAATGTGCAGGGGTATAGTGCTAAAACAATTTTTTTTTATCCAAACATGGAATTGATACTCTACCCAGTTCTTCATAGACCTGGCATTCCTACACTACATGCACCCTAAACGATTTACCATCATTAGAAAATGAATCAGAAGAAAGTTCTAGTGACGAGTTTCAAGTAGGTGACTCCAGAAGTCCTCAACAATTTTCTCAAGCTGAATTAAATGATCTGATCTGAGATTTAGGACTCTCAAAACAATCTGTTGAGTTACTAGGATCTAGACTGCTAAAAAAATATTTATTGACACCTGGAACTTATTTTGCTTCGTATAGAAATAGAGAAAAATATTATGAGCCTTTTTTTTCTCAATATGGTGAGCTGGTCTATTGTTCCGATATGAATGGTTTAATGTTCATGTTCAAAGTTCAACATATAGCTGAAAATTGAAAGTATAAAAGCTGTTTTACTTCACAGCAAGAATAAGTGCGCATCAATACCCATTGGTCACTCAGTGTATTTGAAGGAAACTTATTGTAACTTGACATTGATCTTGAATAAATTAAAGTACAAAGAATTCGAGTGGACAGTTTGTGGGATCTTACAGTAATTTCTATGATACTTGGATAGCAAGGTGGTTACACAAAATTTCCCTGTTTTCCTTATGAATAAGATAGTTGTGCTAAAACTAATTATTGGAACCAGAAAGTGTGTCCAAAAAGAACATTGAAGGTCGGAGAGAAAAACATGCACTTTGAATCTTTGGTTGATCCTAAAAAGGTCCTTCATATCAAACTTGGCATGACGAAGCAGTTTGTGAAGGCATTGCTAAAAGATGGTGAGACATTTAAATACCTTTCAATCTGCGGTAGTGGTGTAGTGGTAGAGCGCTCGCTTCATAAACGAGTGGTTCCGAGTTCGATCCCCACCACGTCCCTGGTAGTACCGCGCTCAACTCGTTTCTCCGCGCAGCGGCCTTGTTCGTCAAGGTTCGTGTTTTGGAGTTATAGAGTTAAGAGAGGGTTATAGCTACAAATAAGTAGCCTCCTCGTCTGTAGTGGCCTTCTCGGCCTTGGGGAGGTAAATTAAAAAAAAAGAAAAAAAAAGTAAAATGGCTTGCCCTAAGCAAAGCTGAAGGAGGGAGTTTTTGTTGGTCCTGACATTCGTAAGCTAATGAATGATAACTAGTTTGAAAATGTGATGAACTATGTTGAGAGGTCAGCTTGAAATTTTTTTAAAAACGTAGTTTTTAAACAGTAGTTTGTAAAAACGTAGGTTTTACAAAGTTTTTAGGGAATCAGAAAGACTCGGACTTTAAAAATATCGTAGAAAATATGTTGTTCAATTTTAAAAATCTGGGATGCTCAATGAGTTTAAAACGTCTTCTTTTGAACTCCCATTTAGATTACATCCCGGAAAATCTTGGTGCAGTTAGTGAAGAGCAAGGTGAGAGGTTTTACCAAAATATAAAAAAATGGAGAGAAGGTATCAAGGTCGATGGGATACAAGTATAATGGGTAAATACTGCTGGATGCTGCATAGTTAAAATGTAACGTCCCACAAACGAAAAAGCACTAAACGAAGCTTCGAACTAAAACAACTAGAATTTATAAAGCTTTATAGTTGTATATACTGTAAACAAATTATTTTATGATTTAAAATTAATTAAATTTGTATAATTTTATGATTTTTTTTCCTATGATTATTGTCTAAAAAAGTGGTGTAAGGCTGGTTTTGCTTATATTTTATTTTCAACTTAGCGAAAAATCCTTAGGTGATGGGGCAAAATACAATATAATTCACCCATTCCAAAAAAAAAAAAGTCTCAATTTGCAGACCTGTGTTATAGATTATTGATTATAGATTATTCATTAAACTCATTTTTAAAAAGGTAATCTAAAAATTTCTGTTGATTTAATATAATAAAATTATTATTTTTAAAAGTTTCATCAGAAGAGATGAGAAAAAATTGAAATTGTTTTCATATTTCAAAAAATACTTTTTTTAATCAATTATTAGAGAGTTTGTATTTTAACCAACAAACTCAAAAAAATTACTTAGAAAAGCTTCAATAAAAGAATAAAATATATATTATATAGTAAAACAATTATACAGGTAATATGCAAAAAAAAAGAAAAAAAAAAGGTAGAACTAAATATAATCATTATATATAGGGGGAGTGGGGAGAAGTGGGAGGGGGAGTGGGGAGAAGTGGGACACAATAGAGTCTTTTTATTTGATCTAACTGAGCCAAACAAATTTTTACAAATAAACCTTCTTTTTAGGCACCGACTTTATCACCTTAGGTTTCCAGCTAATTATAACTAAGTATATAAATTTTGCTTTTCGAGAAACTGTAATAAAATTGATTATAAATAAATTTAAAACAACATTTTAACACAAATTATTAAATATTTTTTCTGTCTTACTTAAATCCAATGTAAACACTTTTTTAAGGTTCCTTTTTAAAATTAATGCTTACAAATTAGTGCACGCAGGGAAACAAAGCAATTTCTGTTAAATAGAGGAGAAGAAGTTCATTAAACAACATTATTGAAGCACCATTCCTAATTAGAAATTTCAGGCTGTATCATTTCCCCTGCGTCCCACTCCCCACTCTCCCCTAATTTTAATTTTCTCACCTTTTTCCAGTTGGTATACATGGAAGGCTAAAAATAGGTGGTAATGAGAGGGCTTTATTTTTTTCTGTATCATTTATCTGTCATCAGATAGGTTTTGTCGTCAATTAGTAGAATATTAAAGTGGAAAAACGCTTCAATGAAATATCAAAATGGAAAAACTTGAAGTTTTGTTTTTGGAATTAATTTACATTAAGTTTCTGTTTATGTCGTCACATAAACAAAAACGATGCTGCCGCTTAAGCAGCTAGTTTTAGTGTATTTTGAGAATTAGATATACCATTGAAAAGTAAGACTCCATCAATGAAAGTTCCATACTTTTCTACTACCCCTAGTTTTATTAGGCATATCTCCACTCTTTCGAAATTAATTACCATAAAGGTTTCCGCCCGCAAATATTTTTATTTATTCTCGAGTTTGTGAAGCTGTTGATAATGATGTTGTTTGCCTGTCTTACTTTGTGCCTGTACCTGTTGGTAATGATGTTATATTTGCTAGTCGTATTTTGTACCTGTAAGCAATCTTCTTTTATCTTTGTAGGAATCTTTTTCTAATAAATCTGAGACGTTGTTAACGCAAATAGATTCTTTGCGTTCTATTATGTTTCAAGAGCGATCAAATTATCTTAATGATTTGATCACTCTTGAAACATAGTAACATGCAAAGAATCAAAACAATGTTTTGATGCGTATTTTTAATTTAAAAAGTTCTTAATGCGGGATTCCATACCTATAAAAAATTTTTACTTGTAGGGAAAATAATTAGTTTGTTGCGTGTGATTAGGCCTGTTTGAAAGAACAGCTGTTTTTTATTATATATTTTCATTTTCCATCAAATAGCATGAGTTCTATCCAAAAAGTAAAATTCAACGTCTATGTCTGATAAAAAATAAAGTCGGAGATATTTTAATCATAATAATATTTTCAATAAAACTTTGAAACATTGAATAAGTTTTTGTAAAAATAAGTATAAAAAACAAGACCAAGACAACCAAGGAACCTGGGACCAAGACAAAGACAAGACCAAAACATAAGAATAAAGTTTAAGACTAAAATCAAGACAAATATCCCACAATCAAGAGGAGACCACAAGACCAGTGTCTTGTGGTTTTGTCATGATCGTTAGAGGAGAGCGGCACAACAATTTTTAATTGTGGCTAATTCATCGGCAACAGTAAGCAATGGTTATATATCAAAATGGAATGAACTGATAAATAATAAGATATACCTCAGGGTCTAGTCATGGGTTAGTTTCTTTTTGTAATTTTCATTAATGATTAATCTGAAAAAATTGTTCAACACTTGAATCTTAATGCGGATGATGGTAAACTTATGAGGTTAACTAACTCTGAAAAAGACTTAACTCTGAATAAAAAAAGTCAAAATTGACAAAACTGTTGAATAGTCAAATACTTAACTTCTTTTTTATAGAGAAATATAAAAGTTAAAAAAGTGTTGGAAGCAAAGTATAAAAGTTCTCATTTTAATACACGATTTTCAATGCCCACAACTTCAGAAGTTCACTTAAAGTCACAACAAATGAACTCGATCTCCGTATCATGGTCTCCGATAGCTAAAAAGTTCGAGCACAAGACAGATTAATTAGACGTAAGTCTAATCTACAATAATTTAAAGTGCACACTTTGTGAACATCATACTTGCACACATCTAGAAATTACGAGCCAAACTTGGTAACGACACCAAAAACCAGTTATTAACACCTATGTTTTTTGCCGCCTCCTTTTTTTCGATAGTTTAATTCTTTTACATCTCCTCGATATGTCTTCAGCTGAATTCAACAACTTTTAAATTTTTTACAATTTTTGATTGTTAATGGTTTAGATTTCAAATAAAAAGTTCCAATGTGGAGTGATACCTTAAAGTATATGTATTAACAACGTAATCATAAAAATTTATAAAATTGCGAATAATCTATAATTAGGGGCCATCCAAATATAGAGCACGCAAAAATCTCCAAATTTGTACCCCCTTTTCCACATTGTGGCATCTTGTACATTTTTATACCCTTACCCCATGCGTACGTACGCTTAATGGTCGTTCCCCTTTCCACTACAGTGGTCTTACTTACACTCTCCCATATAAGTTTCATATGATTGGTAATCTATCCCCTCTTCCCCACAATTCCATTCACGCACGCAAACGAGGCTACTCTATTTTTTGCGCTGCTTAACCTTTATAACTTTAACAAGTCATGAACTTTTATTAACGGACAAGAGAACGAAAAGCGCTACCTGAATTTTTTGCGTTTGCGCACATACATTTGTTGGACCTTCCCCCTCCCCCATATGCACTTGTACGCTAATTACTTAACTTGGGACGCCCACTCCTCGTGTACCTAATATATGAATAGCCCCTTATAACAATGCAAGAAAATAAACAAAACCTTTCCAGATCCAAATTTTTCCACACAGTCAATCCAAGCAGCTGCGGCACCTGGAACCATTACTGAAAACGCTGAAGAACGAGGAATTTTTTTAAAGGCTTTTTCTACGGATATTCCTTGTTCAGAAAGCATGTCTATAGTTAATTTTTTTGGAGATCTTCCACTAAAGAAAAGAGAGCAAAGTTGTGTGTAGATTTTGTTTTTTTCATATTAAATTTTTCTATTTAATAGCTATTATAACAATTGCTAAACAATTACATTTTAATGTTTGTAAATTTGCAGTGTCTGCAGCCGGGTGCAAATATGCGCTTTTTTTAAAAAAAGTGCCGCATAAATTGAATATATAGAAATTATATGCCCACCAGCAAACTGTCATAATATTTAATAAGTGCGGGTTGTCAAAGTATAAAAAAAAAATTACACCCCAGGTAGTAAACTCAGTTAATTGAGTTTACTGCCTGGCCAGTAAACTCAGTTAATTGAATTTATTGCCTGGCGTGTAGCTTTTTGGTATTTTGACAACCCAGCACTTAAGCACTTATTTGATAAAAAAAAAAAATAACTAAGTTTACTGCGTGCAGTTTTTTCATATTTAAATACCCGTCACTTATTACATATTATGACAGTTTGCTGCTGGGCATATAATTTCTGTTTAATTATATTACGCGGCACTTCTTTTTATTAAAAAAGGTGCATGCGTGTTTTAACTGCTGGGCATGTATGTTTTACGCTTTTTGCACCCGGCTGCCGGGAAGACAGAGACGGCGTTATAAATTCACATCTGAATTTATGGCTGGAGTAACGAAAAAACATTATTTGTCTTATCTCCGTGTTAAAATTTCATAATTTTTTACAAACTTTTACAAGAATATATAGTACCGTAGAATTTCCTAATTCCGAACCGTCACTCAGAACAGCTTTAGTTCTCCTATTGTTTACCCCTTAGTTTTTGTGGGATTTTCAAATAGAAAATTATAAATTGGTCAAATTCTTATTAGTCTTGGTTTCCAACAAATTGGAAACCAAGACTAATAAGAATTTGAAAAAATATTTTAAAAACATATATTAATACTATAAAATTTTTTAATTGAAAGTAAGCATTTTTTAAAACCAACTTTAAAAAAAAAAAGCAAATTAAATTGCATACTGTTTAATCAATTTGACGGTGATTATGTTAAAAAAAGCAAAAATTAGAAATGCTTTGAAAGATATTAAAAGAATAGATTTTGGAATGTTTTGAAATTTTTTTTGTTTTTTGCAAAGGTTTTTTTACATTCAAATACAAATGAACACAAATATTTCACATAACTTAATGCTTATAAATGATAATCTGAGCCGTGACCCACATCGCCTTATTAAAGAGGGGGCAAGTAATTTTAAGATGCCAATTTTAAAATTTAGGGACCATTTTGCAAATGAAGGGAGTTTTTTTTTTGGTAATATCTATTAGACAAATCTTTAAGATTTTGAAGCCCAAATGACTAGTTTTTGAGGAAGGGGATTTTCCAAACCACTAGCCACGACATTAATGATAATTAATAATACAATACTCTTAACGACGCTTAATAATCTTAATTATCATAATTAGCTTTAAATTTTTGTATTTAATTGTACTTAGTATTTAAAAGTTTACCTTCCATTTATTCCCTTCACCGTTTTTAGTTTGTTATCATAAAATAACACAAAACAATCTCCACCAAGCCCAGTCATTCCTGGGTCAACTAAACTTAAAACAGCGGCAATACCAACGGCAGCTTCAGCAGCATTGGCTCCATTCTTTAACAAACTTAAACCAACTTCGCTAGCAATAGGGTTACTAGTTGCAACAGCTGCATGCCTCGCAAGAACCGTTGATCTCCGAGAATAAAATTTCTCACCAAGCATATTTAAAACTTTTGATTCTATAATTATAAAAAACAATGATTTAAAATGAAATGTTGTCTATATACATATTATTTTTTTTTTATGTTCTTTTTATTTATTCAAAATAACTATTACAATGAAATAATAGAAATAAGAAACGCAACAAATAAAAATTACAACTTTTGTTAAATATAAAATAAGAAGAACGCGGAGACTTGCAGAAGATCTTATGATTTTGTCATCAAGAACCGCTTACAACTGACAATCATTTCGTATTTAAAAACAATTTCGTAATGTATATAAAATAAATTAAAGTAATTAAAATTAAAAATATACAAGTATGTTTTCAGTAGAGAGAATAATTTTTTTTAATTTTCTTTTAAATGCAAAGAAGTTCGAGTCTTGAGAAAAATCAAAATGTTTCAAAACTATGTTGTTTCAAAGAAACGCCCCTCGAAAAGAAATACAAAACTTGCCTAAATTTGTTTTAAAAACAGGTTGTAGAATGAAATTATCATTTTGTAAATTATACTTATTTTTTTTCTTTTGAGGAATATAAATTGTGAAAAGAAACCGGAGCTGTACGATTTTTACATTTAAACATAAAACCTCTCTTTATTGAAATGAATATTTTAAATATATTTCAAAGTTGAAATATATTTAAAATATTCATTTCAATAAAGAGAGGCTTAGTATGTGCAAAACGGTCTTTAAAATTAATAAGACATGCAGCATGTTTCTGTTGGCGATGAAAAGGTTCTAATTTACTTTTATTAACACTACCCCAAGCCGCATTTGCATAGTTTACGTGGCAATAAATGAATGTGTGGTATAGTTGAATTAAAATATGTTTATTTAGCATGTTTCTTGCTTTATACAAAATACCTATACTTTTCGAAATTTTGCAGGATATATATATATATATATTATATATATATATATATATATATATATATATATATATATGTATATATATATAATTATCTAATTTATATTATATTAAATTATAAATTCATTAATTTTTTTTTTTCATTTTCATTTCATTGTATGAAACTCTTAATTTACTTGTATAGTGGGTGTTTAATAAAATCTAAAAAATAGTGCTTAATTTATATAACTTAGATAATTACATATTTATATTTAGTCTTAATAACTTTTCGATACGACACGCGTACTTTAAGCTGACAATAGGTATCTATTTATATGAATTAAATATATGTATGTGTATGAATATGTTTTTATTACATATAAATATATATTGTTATTTACATTTATTTCTATCCCATGGAAATAATAGCCAACATAACGGCTACTACCACCATAAAATAACTTAGAGGTCCTAATTGGAGAGGGGTCATAGGTTGTTTTCCCCCTTCTTCTTTAGAGCTTCTCTGTTTTATTCATGAGGCAATAACCACTTTAAGCTAGTTAAGGTAGCTATGTTATTATAAGCAATGTTCCTTTGTTAACTGTTTTATAAAAATTAAGTTTTCATTTTCCGAATATATTAAGATATATTAGTTTTGATTAGCTTAGTTGGTTCCTCTTTAACGGTTATAATTTAAAAAACAAAACAATAGGAGTAAAAAATATAAAGTAAAAAAGTAAGTATATAAAATAACAGTATATTTTTTATTTAAATACTTTAAAATAATACTTTTGTTAACTTCAAATGTACGACAAATACGATAAACTGTTCCAAATAAATTAGTTCTAACTTAACAACGTTCTCTACTAAAAAAATCTAACCAATCTATTTACACAATAAAAGGCAATTTTTTTTTTTTTTTGATTAATATTTGGTTAGGATGTTAATCCCTAGGTTTGAATAATAAAGGGTCTTCTATAAACAAACAGTTTATATTTGTTTAGCCACAAACAAATATAAAAAACTCTTTCAACAATTTTTTAAGTCTTCTATTTTAAAACATTCATTAATCTTTTTTTAACAGGAGACTTTAGATGACTAGTAATAATAGAAGACTTTTTCAAAAAGTATTTAAATTGAGGAAAAAAACTTTGCCTAAGCGTAAAACTGATAAAAAAATTTATTTAAATCCAGCAGATATGCACATTACTAGGATTCCGGCAAATAATGACCTACTTTTCGGCCTTTTTTCCTTCTGTTTGCATCAAAGCTAGAAACTTTCAAAATGTCTCACTTTTTGTAATATTTTATGTTTTAAAATTTTTTATATAAGTTTTCTTTAAACAATTGCGTATGGCTTCCAATGGTTACATTTATTACAATGTTTGACAACTTGAAAGATTTTCATTCAAAATAAGCTCTTAAAACAATCATTTTTTTTGTTCTTTTGATGTTCTGTTCTTTTTTAATTTAAAAGTTGGTTTATTTAATCAGCAAAAAAAATTTACGATACCCTCCCCAGACTTTCTACTCTCCGAAAAACTTTTAAATCTTTTAATTACCGAAGTTATCACAAAGATCATAAAATGCTGGATCCGACCTGGTGACCATGTTGTCAGAAAGTAAGCTATTTAAAAGGTTGTTAATTAAAAATTATAATACTTTGATAATAAAAAAATAAGACTAAATAATAATGGTAACAATCTTAAGAGTTTACAAAAATTTCCAGCAGGAAGGAAAGATTCAAATAAATAGTTAAAACAGCTATGAAGAGAGTTTTGGAGAAAAAATTTTTAAAACTGTGATTGAAATGTTGAAAACAAGCTGTTTAAAAATATAGACAAGCAATAATTTAATCAACAAAGGCAGGAGTGGTTTGAATGTTTAACAACTAGCTGACTTATATTGTTAAAGATGAGTGTGGTTATTTAATTCAATATTTGAATTAGAGAAAACGTTCTTTGCATTTTTTAGGTTTATAATATTAACAACTAAATTTTGGCTCAATAAACCTATCTATTTTTTGAACTTTAGTAAAAGAGAGAAAAAGAATACTGTCCAAACCTAATCAAACTCTAATACCATAACATTCTGCAAGTCATACATACCACAAAAACATTTAATTCTATTCTAGCATTTTTAGCATAAGGACAATGGAATATTCGAGTTTTTATTTAGTTAAAAAAAAAAACTATGTAAAGGTTGATAAGTAAGTACATTTTTAGGATAAAACTATTGATACTAAACAACCTTTTTTTTTTTTCTTAAAATATAGCATTTTACAATATCAATAATATTATATACAGTGTGGGACACTTTTTTTGCGCTTTTTTTTAATAAAATAGTGCATTTTATTCAATTAATAACATTATATTGATTATTTAGAATTAGTTAATAACAAATTCAAATTCCTCCTGAAAAATGCTATAATTCACATATGTACAAATTTGTATAAATAATCAGTCTTCATAAGAATATTTCCTATTTTAAACTTTTGTGGAATTAGGTGGAAGTTCGTTCACTGAACTTGCAAAGACTCAGCATGTGCAAATTTTTTCCATTTGGAAAAATTTTGCAGCTACTCAAGGTACAGAAAAAAATAAAAAACTATGGTCAAAAGTGAAAGGCTGATCGACGTATTATCAATGAAGCCCAAAAAGATCAATTTGCAAATGGATCAGAAATCATAGCATCATTAAACTTAACTACTTCTGTGTCATTTAAAACCGTTCGTCGACGTATTACTGAGTCTGCACAGTTCAAGTCATATTTTGCATGCAAGAAGCCATTCATCAAAATAACAAACAGGGATAAGAGAATAAAATGGGCAAAAGATCATCTCCATTAGACTGTTAATCAATGGCGTCAGATAATGGCGCAGGTACAATTAACGTTATTTAAAGGAGTGTACTATTAGAACTGTCAAGTATAATGCCAGATTAATGGTTTGGAATTGCTTTGCTGCTCACAGTGTTGGTAATGTATATTGAGTACAAGGTATTATGGAGCAAAAACAGTATCATAAAATCCTTCAGTATCAAATCAAGCCAAGTGCGACAAAACTATTTCCTCAGGGTGACTTTATATTTCAGCAAGATAATGATTCTAACTACTGCACTAATTAATAAAGCATATGTAGCCAACCTAAAATGGGTAACATTTGGTTGGTGATGGTTGGCCATCACAGAGTCCTGATCTAAATCCTGTCGAGAATCTTCAGAGCATGCTTGACCAACAATTAAAGTTTCGTAGATGTAACACCCTTAATGATTTGATAGCTACTTTAAAAGGAGGGTGGGAGGCCCTCGAACTAGAACTTTTAACACGTATAGTTGATAGTATGCCTCGAAGATGTGCGGCAGTTATTAAGAGTAAATGATATATGACCTTTGTACTTGCTTAGAAGTGAAGAACTCTCAGATAAATAAGCAAAAAGTAATTATTTACCGTCACAGATTATGTACGTTTCTTAAAATATTTGCTTTTATAAAAACAAACAAAAATTTAAAATAGGAAATACTCTTATGAAGACTGATGATTCATACAAACTTGTAAATATTCAAATTATAGCATTTTTAAAGAGGAATGTGAACTTGCTATTAACTAGGGTAATGCGGGGCAAAATGAGACAGCGGGGCAATACGAGACAGTTCGCGTTTAACATAATGCCAGCCCTACAAATTATTATTTTCAAGATTTTTAAAAGTTCAGTTGTGTTCAAAAACTACTTTGTGTCAAGAAAAATATATTGAGTCAATTTGAAATAAAAAAGTTGAGTAAAAGGGGAGTCATTTCATCCCTCGGCTTCGCGAAAATTACGAATTTTTAAGAGTTATTATTATATTTTTTGCTAGCCTTTTTTGATCTCACTGAGTGGAAAAGCTTTTTATATTTAAAGTTTTTTTTTAATTAAAATCTTTAGGCCTTTTCCTTTCATTTCCACTCTTTGGTATTTTATTTCTTCAATAAAGTAATCTGGAAATGAGGCTATTCGATGCCAACATGATGCGGGGCAAAACGAGACATGTGGAGTCAATTTCCAAAATGCACAACCTGGGCTCATTCGGACTGTTATTTGTTTCAAAATACTGGTTAAGCAATATGTGATTTATGTGACTAGTGACAGTTTGATTATAGCTGTAATATATTATAAAATGAATTACTTGCTAATCCTTTTAAAGATATGTTTTTTTTAACTTTATTTATTTAAATTACTAAAAAAAAAAAAATCTGTCTCATTTTGCCCCGGTATGCGGGGCAAAATGAGACAGGATAGGTGCTGTCAATAAATGATCTCTGGTGAACAAACTATTGCAGTTTTGCAACTCATACTTTTTAGGCTTCAAGTAGGATCGTAGAAGAATTGAAAAATATTAATTTATTTTTTCAAAAGTTGTTAGACGGGCCGTATTAGATATATTAGCGCTTAAGTGTCTCATTTTGCCCCTCGTTACACTAATTCCGAATAATCGATTTGAATTCATTAATTGAATAAAAAGTGCCATTTAAAAAAAAAAAAAGCGCAGAAAAAAAAGTGCGAAAAAAAAAAAAAAATTCACTATTTTTTGTCATATTTTAAGCAAAGTCTTCTGAAATTATCAAAAAACAAGTTCCTGAAAAAAAAATTAATAAAAGTAAAATGACTCAATAAAAATTTTCAAAAAATATTAACAATGTTACGTAATAATGCACTGATTTTAACAAACGTCAATTTATTAAAAAAAGTCCTCTATATCTTAAATTTTCTTAAAAAAATGCTTCGGAACCATTTTCCTGTTGTATTACATTTTATCATATGCCCAAAAACCATTTTGTAGAAGAGCAATGTTGTAAAGCAAAGTCAGATACAGATATGATGTATATAAGTTTTTCTGGTTTTATTTGTAAAGAGATATTATAGCATGCAAATCTTTTTTTTGCGAAAAAAAACAAACAAACAACATTTCGATGTCAACTTGTACACAACAAAGAAACAAGATTTCACTGTCACACTTGTTCTGATAATATAAAACATTGTCGACTATAACATGAACGTTCTGATGAGGTTCTAAAACCTGTTTAATGGCTGAGTTGGTAAAAACTTTTGATCCTTAAACACAACAAGGCTATTGAAAACAAGCAGACAAAGTTTATTTTAAAGGACCTTTAATTCTTAAATCCTCGGGTCCCTACTTTTCTTGATATATATAAATGATTTGAATAAAGCTTCTAACCTTATAAGTATCATGTATACAGATGATGCCAATCAACTTTTGTCAAGCAGTAATATATATGAACTCTTTATCAATATGAATAAAGAAATAAAATATATAAATGGTTTAAATGTAATAAGTTAACGTTAAATATTAATAAAACCAAATGGACTTTATTCCATTCATATGCAAAAAGCGATTTTTACCAACAAACTTGCCGCAATTTTGTATAGACAAATTGAAATAAAAAATGATTCCGTTACAAAATTATTAGACGTTTATGACAATAAAAACAACTCCTGGAATTAAATCATTATTTATGTATCGACTAAAACTTTAAAACGAATTGGGATTTTATATAAAGCTTGTAACTACCTTAATAAAAGTAGCTTAAGCCAACTTTATTACTCTTTTATCCACAGTTACATAAACTATGCTCACATTGCTTGGGGTAAAAAGTTAAAACTTTTTTATTGTCGTCAGTCCGCATAATTAACTAAGCTGATCGTTATACATATGCAAAACCTATTTTTACTAAAATGAGATTATTAAATTTATTTGAACTTAATGTATTTAAAGTTTTATGTTTTGTATATTTGTTGAGAAATAATCTATCCCCAACAGTTTTTTGCTTTGTTTTGCTTGTTAATAATACTTTCAAACTCAAACCAAACAACAAATGTGAATATGATGTGAGATATGAG